AAACGTTGTACATTTGCTGTCATGTTAAACTTATATTAAAGTTTTTCTTCATTACCCATTTAAGCCGTCTCCAGCCATTATTATATTACGTAATAGTTATGTATCCCTCAGGCAGCCCCAAATAGGCTTACTTACTACTACGCACGGGTTAACAAGCAACCACGGAATGCTTTATATGCGGGTAATACAAAAAATAAATGCCTGAGAACTTTGATTTTTTTTCACCTCAAGCGATCAATGACATGAGGAATGCAGTAGGAAAATGTGAGTGCTATATAATAGCGTTTCTCACAAGCAGTAGGATATGTGAGAAACGCTATTATATAGCACTCACATAGCAGTAGGATATGTGAGAAACGCTATTATATAGCACTCACATAACAGTAGGATATGTGAGAAACGCTATTATATAGCACTCACATAACAGTAGGATATGTGAGAAACGCAATTATATAGCACTCACATAACAGTAGTTATATCTGTTTACTGGAAAAACAAACGTGCAAAAGTAAAATCACGCATATCTTAATGTTTACCTTATACTAATTCATTGTAAAAACAGTGTGTTTGAAAAGTATAACTGTGAATACACCTAATAGATAGCGCTACTATTTGACATGATATACATAGGGAAGGATAATGCTTGTACACGGCTTGAATGAGTAATGAAGAAAAACTTTAATATAACCTTAGCATAACAACAAATGTACAACGTTTCGACAAGGTTTTGATGATGATGACAAAACCTTGTCGAAACGTTGTACACTTGCTGTTACGTCTCCAAGCCTTATTAGTCTCAAACTGGGTTCCTCATCATCGAATAGGGAAGGATGTATTATCTATAGTGATGCTGGAAACTAAAGAAACATCTAACGAACCGCCAATCAAAACGTTAGTTCCTACAATGCATGTCTTAATATTAAAGCGTTCCATACGCATCCACCCTAGAATGGCTACAGTTTTAAAATATTAATAAAAATTCAAGAAGATCACTCTTTCTGAAAAAATAACTAGGACATTTCAGGTTTAAATAAAAGTTTATAGTTGAATATACGCTTTGTTGAATTTGTGAACACCTATTCATGAATAATACTATTTAGTTATAACCTCACATTCAGTGCTAAAAGTGAGGAGCGTGATAGGCCAAACAGACTGTCTGTTTAATTATTTTGATGCTTACCAAAAGTGTGTATTCCAAAGTGCAAACATTTTCTAATTTTAAGTTGAGTGAATATATTTCCAACTTAGTAAATTTCAAGTGTCTTTCATTCTTTCATTTTCTCAATTTGGTTCTGATTTATCCACGAGCCAAGTAAAAATTTTAAAACAAAGGTATTGCAGACTTGTATCGGTTGGGCAATAACTATTTAAAAATAAAAATTGCTAAACATGATTAAATATGTTTAAATTGAATTTATTAATTAAAAATGCTTTATGTGTCAAAAGAACCTTTGAATGTTTTATACATAAATTACTTGTTAATTCGTATTATTTAGTTCCATCAAATATCAATAGTAATGCTTACTTTATGCTATTTGTTTTAATGAAATTTTATGTTTTATTATCCAGTTTAATAAACGACATTCATACGCAAGCAGAGCACTACCGATAGAATTTGTGATGATTTAGGTTTGTAAACTCATGCAGATACCAACAAAATGGCGGATGCTGCTGCGCGTTCACTTCAGTATGAATATAAAGCGGTAAGTTAAGTCAAATACTTATGTATCATTTATTTTTAACTGATTTACTTACTTATGCAGCGTGAACGGTAATTTATGATTTTTTCCTTCGACGAAGAATTCAAGATTTTCTAGGTAACTGCAATAATACTATGACTTTACGTTTGATTTTACTAAGTTAAGAACGAGCTCATTTTACTGTAGTGTAGGCTTAACTAGCGGGTTAGGCTTAAGGTATAAACTAACTATAGTAAGCCTGTAAATTGCATCTATCAATAACATGTCGATGTAAAAATCATTCTAATAAATGTAATAATCGCTAGTTCAACCTATCTTGATTTTGGGACTGATTTATTCATTTCTTCATCGCAGTTTTCAGACTCAAACTTCAGTTTCAAAATCAAAGAAACTTCTAAATTTAACTACTTCAAAAACTGATAAAAAGATGCTCAATTTTTGAAAAACTTGTGTACCTAGGCTATGAGTGCATGGATTGTCAAATACTTCAATATCTCGCTGCTGACAGCTACTCTATACTAAACTCTAAAGTATCTCGTTATTAAAATTTATGATTTAAACACTGGAAGTGGAAGCCAATAGGCTTAATGTTTATGTTAATCATGGATAAGTTATGAGGAATGTTGAAAAATAATATCTGCAATTTACATGATTTCTATTTTATTATTACCTCCAATGAGCAACTGCTTGGGCACAGTATTTCTAACCACGCTACAGAAGCTAGATGGTGCAAGTCTAGTCAGGTGGCCCATTTTCTAATTGTCTTGGCAACCAACCAAATGAGTTGAAGCTGTGGTCTTACCATTTCCTTTTACTTTAACCTAAGTATGCCTTGCAATTCAAATGGGGATTGCAAATCTGGCAAAGCATTAGCATGTGAGATAATATTGTTAAATACAATTATAATAACCTTTTGTACTCAGAATCTTGCAGCATAAACGACTAATGCATGTATCGTGGAAGTATTGATACTCGACAGATTTTCTCTTTTGAAATCTATACTAGCAGTCTTTTCACTAGCACTTTCTGAGTTTTACTAACAAATGTGCAACAATATACAGTAGTTTGTTAGCCTTGATTTCAAGACCGGAAAGGTCTACCCTGCATTCTCACAGTCAGAAAAAAATATCCATTGGTAAGTTTCAAATGCTTCAATAAATCACAAATAAGGTTATATCCCAAATTTAAAATTAAGACTTTATAACTTAATTGTTAGGCTGTGTAAAGATATTCTGTTTTCAGTGATCAAAGAGTAGATAATGTGTATGTTTTTTAATACGCTATTATATTTCTAGTTCAGTAATATATTTTGTTGGACAGAATCATTACTTATTAAACTTCACAAAACCTGTATTTATTATCATTTGGTATTTGCCAGTACCTCACTGCCTAAAGATTTGTTTGAAATTAACAGTTTTGCTATGTTACTGAATCAGTTTAACAGTGTTAAATAACCCTTTTACTGTGTTGACGGATTGTATAATAATAATGAATGTGTGCCGTGTAAGATATTTGAATTGGATACATTTTGAAACTTGTAATATTAATGAAAAATAAATTTATAGTTTAATACTATAAAGATAAGTTAAACATTCACTGTGTAAGAATATAACAGATATTTGCTGATAGTAATATTCATATAAGCCTGTACCATTCTTGTATAATCAACTGAAATATTGAATGGTAAGTTCAACCAAAATCTTTGCATTATAAGAAATAAGTACCTGTTATTTTGTACCAAGATAATATTGTGTAGTCTGATGTTAGGTTTAGTAAGAAGCTTTTTCAAAATTCTCTTGTTTAATATGGGAACAAGCTAAATGTGTAACCTCCCTCGTGCTTACCACAGGTAGTGGCTACAAACTATACTATCTGTATAATAATGGGAGGAAAATTAATTTTGTTTAGATAAACAGTGTTTCAGTTTTAATTGTACTGACACTTTGTATTCTACACATACATTTGTTTTCAAATCAATTATCTGGTTAAAATATGTATTAAAAACTCAGTTTGAACGATGTTTAAAATTATACAATACTTTAAAAACTGTTGAAGGTACTAGGCCTAACTTATAGCACCTATATGTTTTGGTGGGTCAAAGATCTACGATCATCGGAAAGGAAAACAGTAAGATATAAACATCACAATGTGTTTTCTCAATCCTGTTTTCTTTCCTGATAATGGTGAGTCTGTGACCCAATGAAATGTTGATTTTTTTAGTAAGGTGTGGTGCCTTCAGAAGTGTTTAAAGTATTGTGTAATTACAAACATTGTTCACACTGAGACTTAAAAATGGAATTCAAGCCTTAATTATAATGAAAACCAGATAATCAGTAGTATACCTCAAAAACTTGAAAGTGTCTTAATTTTTGTGTTTAATTTTTTATAAGAGCAGTAAGTTTAGAGTTTGTTTTATATGGAAGAAAGTTTTTCATAAACTATAATGTTAACAGACTTAAAAAAATGAAGACAAACTAGTATCATATAATCTAGTGAATAAACTTGAATAAGACCAAACATTCTTCAATTGAAGTTGTTTAGGTCATTATTATTTTTTATTGAACTTAGTTACAAATGAAATAACATTTTTAAAGTAGTCAAAAAAAAATTAATTATATGTCAACTTAGCTATATTTAGCATATGTAGATGTTCAGAATTTTTTTTCTGATTTAAACCACTCCAAAGTTGTCAAAGTATAAAGTGTTTTGCTCTCTTAGATTATAGCCACACTTAGAAAATGCTGAAAAATGCTTTTATAATTGGTGATAAATAGTAAAAGTGACTTTTCACTCATGTGAAAATTTAGTAGTTTCAAAGTTTTTTTAACAAAATTAATATGAATGTATGTATTTTTCCTATGAACTTTAATTGTTTGTAAGATCTGTAATGTTTGCCCGAGTAAACCTGCAAACTTTGCATTTGTTTTCCTATCTGGGTCTAGAACTCCAACCTTGTATTACAAGCTGACACTCGACTCATTGAAAGACGGCCTAGAGATGAAGCCACTGGAGAAGTTGTTTCTCTTATGGGAAAGTTGGAAGGAACCAGAATGGGTGATCGTTATCAAAGAACCAAACCAGCAAAAAATGAAGAAAAGAAAATAAAGTAATAATGCATTTTTTTTATATATGTGCATATCTATATATATGAACCAAAACATTACCATTAATACATATTGCGTACAACCACTGTGATGAAATATCTTATTTAATTTTATTAAAAGTTATGACTTAAAAACCAGAATATGTGAATGTGAGCATTTTGTAAAAGTGATGTGGCATTTATTCTTAAGTTTATAAGCACACTTTAAAAGATTTTCAAATTAACAGGATGTTTATGTCGAAGTAAAATGTATTAATTTTAATTTTTATGTAGATAATTTTGTCTCTCATAAACTAGGAAACAAAAAAAAGAGGACATTGCTAGGTATGATTTTACCAAATTGAAAGGACAGAGCCTATTGACAGAAGGAATAGAAGATGTGGTTGGCATTCTGTACCGTCCTAAAACCTCTGAAACAAAACAAACTTATGAAATTTTGCTGAGCTTCATTCAAGAAGCCCTTGGAGATCAGGTACATTTCATTAATCACATGATTTCACTTATGAAATTAGATTTTTTGAGTGTTACCTTGAATCTTGCTATAAAAAATTTAAACTGGTTTACCAAAATATCTATTTTTATTTATGTTAGTTTCTGTAACAAAAATTATGAAATGATAACTTTACTACGGGAACTCACCACCAAAATTAATATGTGTAAAAAAAAATTCAGCATTTTTGTTTTAATTGTAAAACTTGGATATTTTGGTGAATGTTCTCCAGTTATTTATGCAAGGGCCTTGTTCATACAATCTGAAGTATAACAGTAGTACTTTTTCAGTTATTACTTGTTCATATGCTGGTTTTAAGTTAATTACTTACTATATCTGTTTTTCAATGAGTTAAATCAGACAGAAATATATTCAAAATTTCTATAATTTTGTATATGATAAAACAAATCTAAAGCAATGACCAGATGCGGCAGTTTATTAAGCCTGTTTTGGGCTCATTATACATTGTCTTATTAAAGAGGTTTCAGAGAAGGGCTATTAGGATTATTCTGAGGAAGAAAGAGTGGTTTTATAGGGATAGGTAAGATCTTTTATCTTATTTTCTCTTGTAAAGAGAAGGTTAGGAGATGAAATTATTGATGTTTACAAGATTATCTGGAAAAAGTTAAAAGCCTCTGATTTCTTTGCTCTGTATTCTGAAGATATTAGGATGAATGAGCTCAAGTTTAAGATTTGGAAAAGACAGGCTAGGCTCTAGCTAATACAGTTTGATTTTTCAAACTCAGTGATTATCATATGGAGCTTCTAGTGAAAGCTGAGTGGATATAAAATTTATATCTAGGGTGGGTATACAGAGAGAACCTTGTAGGACCAAATGGTTCTGTCTTGGCCATAATGTTACATTATTATGATTCAGTTCTTCATAACAGTAAACTAGACTACATAAAAAAATGTTAAGATTTGATAGTAAGTTAATAGACAAAGTTTGTTTTTAATATATCAAATTACTTAGACCTAGGATTTGTTATTATTTGATAAAGTTTTGAAGAATGACTCATTACACTTTCATTAATAATGCTACTGCCCCACGTTTAATTTTTTGCTGATAGTCATTTTTTAGTTTGTTACAGAAAACTTAATTAATGGAATAATACTCTAAGAATATTTACAGGAATTCATAGGAACTAGGTTAGTTCTAACGTCTGCAATATTTGTCTTTTTCAAATGTTGTTAATTTTGGAGTCAGAAAATCATTAAAAGTAAGTGGAATTTTAAAGTGTGTGTGTGGAACTTAGAAACTACATCATCTGATTGAAAACTGAATTTGTGCAGCCTAGAGACATCCTGTGTGGTGCTGCAGATGAAGTGCTAGCAGTGTTGAAAAATGAGAAGATGAAAGATAAGGAACGGAGAAGAGAGACAGAAAGCCTTCTTGGTTCCTTAGCTGAAGAACGGTATGCTGTATTAGTAAATCTTTGTAAGAAGATCACAGACTATGGTAGAGATGAAAAAACGCAGGCCATTGGTAAGACATTGAATGTGTGATATTCACAGATTATAATGCTAAAGATTTTGATAAAATGCTTGATTTTGGCTTTTTTTATATTTAACTTGCTGTATGTGTTGAGTAATTGGAAAGAAAAGCATGATGCTTTGTCCTTAATTTTAAGGGAATGCTGTGTGAAAATCAAAATGCAAGTTTTTAAATGTTGTTTTCATATTCTGTTGTAGTTTAATTTTGTGTAGACCATTTATTGGACTCTGTAATGTTTGATTCAAGAACCTTTATAGTTGGTTATTCTTAATATAAATATTTGCTTGAAAGTAAACTTTCAGTAAATCAATATCCAGTAACAAGACAGAAAATAGGTCATGATGTTTTGATTAAGCTGAGTGATTGTGGTATTGACTAATTGATGAGACAATTAATTGATTACATGCAAATAATCTATTAGTACAGTGTTCATGAAACATGGTATGTGTTCCCCTGTTGAAGAGAAAACATGAACAAGAAGAAAGTAGCTTAAGAGTTGGCTTTTGGTGCTGCCAAACATTTGCCTTCCCTCTAGTCACCCTTCAGAAGTAGTAGTGACGAGAAACTTTAGTTGGTTTGCCATAACAAAGCCAGGGTGGCAATGGGAATCAAACAAATGAGCCTCGTCCATCCTCCAAAACCACCACCAGACCATGCTGGGCCCAAAGCTGAACAAATTTAAAATGAAAAAAAAATGCTTATAACACCAAAATCTTGTTTTGATACCTGTAATAAACAGAGCATAGATTAACCATAATGGCAATATTTCAATTATTTGGATAGTTGGAATAATTGAAGGAATTAGTAATTGAAAACTCTCATTTAAATTATTTGATTGTTTTTTATGACAGTTGATTTAATCATAATTTTGATTTATCATTTAGTTTACATCATACTATTGGATAGAATTGCTTCTCTTAGTTAATTAGTTAAATAGCCCATCACTTATTCTTACTAACACAGAACTTGTTTGTTTTTGTAATTACATTGAACTTGTTGTTCGTATTAATCATTTTACAGAACGTGGTATTCATACTCTGATAAGTATACAAGACGTGTTGTTTATACTAATAATTACACAGAACACATACTGCTAAATATCCAAGATGGTGTTTATACTAATTGTACAGAACATGGTGTTCATAAACATAAAAAATGATGGGGCAAGTATTACCAACTCCACCCGATAGTATACCCTAACCTCATAGTTCATAGCTAACTGAAATAAATAAATTTTGCAAAATCAAGCTTGACCAACAAAGAGACAGAAAGTGCAGTCCGGGCAGTCAGATGTTGATAAATTTCTTTGTGAGCCAATCAAAATTATGATCATTCATGAAATGAACTCGTGGCGCATTCATAGAATAATTATTGGTAAAAATCAAATAGATTAACAACTTCTAATATACAGAAAAGCCAGTGTGTTTTTGTAACACTACTTTCCAATGATGGCTTTTTAGCAACAAAAGTATAATCTAATATTGTTGTTAGTCTGTGTACTGAAACTTTTAGACAACAAAAGTGGAAAAATATTTGTTGATTTCTTAACTTAGAGTCTCCATTGATTAAAGAGGTTTGTTTTTTATTAAAAACGTTGGTGATATAACAAAAAATAGCTTAATTCAGAAATGATTTAAGTATAAAATTGAATTGATATTTTAACTTTCATGATAAATTTTATGCACTTGGCTAGGTGATCCCACACTACATCTTTACTTTAGGCTTATTATACCAACACTTCCAAGGTTTCAAGGCATCCCTCCCCTCACGTCCCTTTGCACCCCTATAAGTAAAATTGTAATGGTTAGACAGTAATCAAACTATTCTATCTGGATAAGTGCATTTTGGCTTTTATGACTCTTCTTATTTTGAGAAATTAAACGTGAGGTGACACACAATGGCTTTTATATAGGTTAGATAACATGGTGTATGTAGCAATAATGAAGAAGAAAATGGTGTTCATGCTAATAATTACACATAATATAGCTTTCATACTAATAATTACATAGAACATAGTGTCCTTACACTTTATAAATGCACAAGATATGGTGTTTGTGTTAATAATTAAGCAGGATATGTTTATACTGATAAATATATAAGACAAAGAACATAATTTTATACAATGAAGATGTACAAGTTAATATTTTGACTTTTCTTTTTATTCAAACCAGAAGAAAATATTGATGAAACATACGGTGTCAATGTGCAGTTTGAGGAGTCTGATGATGAGGTAAGGTGAATTTTAGAATATAAGGTCATGAACATGAAATTTTGAATGATGTCTGGTAGTAGAACATGATTCTGTTGATTTACTAAATTTGGTTCTTTTACTAAATACTAAGCAGTTTATGTGTTGTTAATGGTACTGTATTGAGAGTAGTTTTTAATATTTGCTGTTTAATATATGAATTTAGCTGAAATAGTTAATTCTTTCAGTGCATTATGTTGTAAGGCCTACATCTGTTTTTGTGTGTGTTATATACTACATGTTTCTTTCCCCGCATTGTTGTCGAGAGTGCATCCTTGGGGATTTTCGAAGTTTTCTAGTAGTTATATGTTTTGAACATCCCATGACAAAAACAAGTCTTATGACTTCTCCATATCTTCAGCAGGATAACACAGAAATTTTGGGATAAATTCTGGAGCCTCTGTGATATTCATTGTTTTGGTTCAGCAGCTGTGTACTTTTGTTTAGCGTTAAGAAATTTGGAGAAAAAAACAAAAGAACCAGCCATGCTTTCACTTGTATAACAGGTTTCTCTCCTTATCATCTCAGAAAAATGAAAGCCATAAATGTTGAAGAAGCAAAAGAAAAACATATTTAACCATATAGTACAGGGGCACATAAGTTAATGAATTGGTTACAAATTGTCAGAAATGTTTCTGTGTTTATTTCTGGAAGATGATATTTTGAACAAGTCCAGTTTGTCACTGAAAGCTTGTGAAAATACATAAAACATATTACAAGTTATAATATCGAAACTATAAAGGCCAATTTGGGGTAATGAACTCAGCTGATTTGGTCGAGCCCATTGTGAGAATGTTACAATCTGTATTTCCTTGTTTTCCTTTTTCTTTTATTCATGACCTGTATAATATTTATGTACGAGATGTGATTTTAAAAGAATTCTTTAACTCAATCTTCAAAATGATGTCTATGCAATTTTTAAATTCTGTACATTTGCCTTCGTTCTAAGGTTTATGATCCAAACATTACAAGTCTTTTGTAGACAAAAAATCAGAATATATAATGAAGTATTTTCACTAAAAGTTTCACCATGAATATGTGGAGTCAAAGTGTTGACTACTCCAAGTGCAAAGTGATTGTCATGTTAAGATTAAAAGTACTTTTCTTCATCTGAAAAGTCTCAGATTTCATTTGCATAATCTCTAAAACCTCCTAAATACATTTCAAAACTTTTATTTCAGTAAAACTTCATATTTTATTTGTTATTTTCTCTACCCTAACTCAATTCAAGGTTGATCAATTTGAATGACCTCGTAACCACCAAAAAAAAATTGAAAAAATCTAAATTACCTATTTTTTCTTTCTAGCATGTAACAACATTGTTTATCTTTCAACTCATAACAGTATACATCTGTTTCTACTATGTTTTTAACTTGATGTATACATGTTGGATTTCTTGGCTTTTGATCTTTATTTTTACTTAACCAGTACTTTTAGATTTTCCTGTCCCAAACGTATTGGTTTCAGATGTCAGAGCTCAAAACACTGACAACACGTAGCAATGTGTGGCAGTTGATATGTGCATAAATGGATATTACATGTAACTTACTATATATATATATATATGTGTGTGTGTGTGTGTG